AATAATAATAAGTGGAAAAATCAGACACATTTTTTGCGATTTTTTACCTCCGTATTCAAAATTAAAAAAACTACTGTTGCTATTACATATTAGCTTCAAAAAAATTAAGATGTTTAAAATGATTTAGTACACTTCTTGTTTTCTAGAAGATCAACTACCTCACATCAACTAAACAATAAACATGTTAGACTCATAACCTTTAGGTTCTGCATTCCATCTCTGGTTAGGTTTTGGCTGTGTACTGGCGAGGAGTCTCAAAAAACTAGGGTGAAAGAGCTGTTTAGTAGACCCTAGTTTCCAAGTCTTCTCTCACTGATGATAATTCATAACGAAATCCGCATGAAAAAGGATGTTACCTCCACTGAAGTCAAATTCCACCGTTTTATCCCTGCAATGAAAAGGGCAGCACTCCACTTCAGTATGGATTTATCACTTCAAATGATTCGATGTCAGCAGAAATGGCGAAGTTCAACCATAGCGTTCCGGGGGTGCGAACGCTCCAATGACATTTTGAGCGCATGCTAGTCGTTCGCTAACGACACCTGTCATTATTATAGCGCAAATATGAACGCTATTCACACCAACTAAGGAGCAAATTTCACCCAGATCACGTGTTTAAGTACTGTTTGGACAATGTGTTAATAGATCTTTAGGGTTAGGATCAAGGTAATAATTAGGATTAGGGTTAAGTTTACGGTTATGATAAGAATTGTAATTAGGACTAGGGTTAAGTTTAGGGTTAGAGTCAGGACTAAGATTAGGGCTGCGACTAGGGATAGATTTCGAGTTGATGTCATTTATTTTAATTTGTTTTCTGATCCACATTCTCCTGGTAAGTAGTCGTCGATTCTCTTACTGGAAACCATAGTAACTCAACCGACCGAGGACTTTTGGAAAGGACTGAACAATAGGATAAGAGAGACAAACAATTCACAAAAACAGCTCATCTTGGGCCACCTCGATGAATACATGCACAGAAACTAGTCTAACTTGGCAAATGATAATTTCCATTATAGCTGGGACGTATTTTTAAGTCAGAAAATTATGTTTGTTAGAATGAAGTGTTAAAGTTACTTTCTGTATGTAGTAGTGTGAAATATTCCCATATCATGAATAAAAAGTCAATCTGAACGAAGAATATTCTTTTCAATAATCTCTCCTCTTCAGGTTCTTACAATCATAAAATGATAATATTTGTTGTCGTTACACTAATGATAGCCAGTTATGCGGCAGATACATTTTTTAACGTTGAATAACAGATTAGTTATGGGGTGATATTAGATGTTTGGAGGCAATCAGCGGCAGGAAGCCCAATCTGACGTAGGTTTCGTGCAAGTTGGCACTCAACAGTCAGTCAGCAAGGCATATATGCAACCTTGAAGGAACTCATGTCCCTTCTGAGATTCGAACCTGTGTCACCCAGTGCCGCCTGCAGTCAGAAACGTTACCAATGAGCTATCCATACAATAATAACAATTCGTGATGGCGAGCTATCTAGCATTGTGGCTACATTACAAACCTGACTGATAGAATTCAGTCTGCAGCAAAGAAAGGACTAGACATATCACATTAGTCATGGGGTATCGAAATAAATATAGTATTTATATGACAAACGTGCTAGGCTGAAATCGATTACAAAATATTGTGAAATGGGAGACAATGGTGGTGATTAGTCATGATAGTTCTTAGAATGTGGGCTAGGAAATTTGACAGGTCAGTTCAAGTTTGAAAAAGGTGTCAGGCGGATGAGTGGCTAGTACAAAGTGGTATGTATTAAAAAGGAGGAGATAGTAAGACTGCAATGAGAGGTTCATAATGAAATAACCAATATATGGTGAGATGAAACAGGTGGAGGCATATATTGAGAAAAGAGATAATATCACTAATAATAAGTCCGGATAGTATAAACGAAAAATTCGATAGTATTGAGAGAATGTTTGCATGAAGGGCATAAATTATGACGAATAATAATAATAATTGTGATAATAATATTTGTAATAATAAGCAAAGGAAAAAAAGCCAAGAGGGTTAGGGGGAAGGAGCACTCTTGGTGAGAAGAAGAATCATTGATCCAGGTTTGGCCACAGTAGGAATAGTGTCTGGACGTGTTCTTTTTGAATACAAAGTTCTGGTTTAGTCGATCTTATTGCAACAGTTTCAGCTATGTATAGCAGACGTAAGCGAACTGTATGCCATAACAAAATAGTCTGGACATCTAAGGGTTTTTCCGTTATGAGTTAAATACAGCACCTCGCCAACCACCCAGGTTGTTCGGCGTTCGATCCCCGGCCACAGACGCACTCCCTCACCTCGCTAAGCCAGTAATAAGACTGATTAAGAGGGAATGGTTGCGTATGAGGCTAGCAACCCCATCCCGTAAAAATAAACACCACTGCTACTGAAACTTGGAAGCTCTAGCTTCAAGGCCTATGTTCCGAACTAGTTCCAGCAATTCTGAGTGACAGTTCAGATGAGGCTAATCGTTGTCAGATGCATTTTCTATTTGATCTAACTAAACCAAGGACTTTGATACTAAGAGTAGATACAGTAATGAATATCCTATGCATCTCTAGTAATAAGGCCATTCACTACAGCTGAACAAGAAGGTTATTTTGTTTTCTAGAAACATGCTGAATATGAATTTTAAATCTATTTCTTACACATAACTACTATTATTATTCCCTCAGGTTCCTAATGGAACATAGGGCTTCAGCAGCACAGCTCCACTTTGTCGTGTTCACTTTAGCGCGTTTTCATCTAGCCCCACAATTGCTCGTAGGTTCTCACCTCCTTTTCACACTGTCTCCCGCATGTTTCGGTCTTACGCTCAACTAGTAGTTTTTTCCACTGGAGTGCCAGCTTGGCGCGCAATGTCACCCGACGGTCTCCGCAGCATGTGTCCAATGCACCTCCATCTTCTTCAACATATTTGTTGAAAAATAGATTTTTTTTATTGGTTCACTGTATATAACTGAAAAAAATATATGACCTCCTTTATGTTCGCTGATAATTTCGTACTGAACTTCACTCATTCATGTCTATTCACCTACTA